ATTTATTTTCAACTGTAGCTCAGCATCCGCTGGACCAATCAAAAAGTGCGCCATACATTTTTTGTTCAGAACTTTCTTCTAATGACTTTGGCGGTATTCCGAATCGATTATCTCGCGAATTTAATTTTACTAAAATTTTTCCAAAATATTTTTGAGTGTAGCTCAGCATCCGCTGGACCAATCAAAAAGTGCGCCATACATTTTTTGTTCGAAACTTTTTCCCTATTTTTGTGGTGGTATTCCGGATCAATTATCTCGCGAATTTAATTTTACGAAAATTTTTCCAAAATATTTTTGAGTGTAGCTCAGCATCCGCTGGACCAATTAAAAAGTGCGCCATACATTTTTTGTTCGAAACTTTTCCCTTATTTTATTGGTGGTATTCCGGAGCGATTATGTCGCGAATTTATTTTTTCGAAAATTTTTTTTACCTTGCTCAGCATTCGCTGGACCAATAAAAAAGTGCGCAATCCATTTTTTGTAGACAACTCCCGGGTTAATATTTTGGTACTATGCCGGAATGATTATGTCGAAGAATTCCAAAAATCGCAAAATTTATTTAGACTTATAAAGTTATACATTTTGTTGACTAATATTTCAGTGCAACAAATAAAATATTTCCTTTTGAAAAAAAATGACTGGAATTATTTTGGAAAGGAAAGTAAGAATTCTGCCATTTACCTTCTAAAATGCGCGGCTATATTGATTTTATCGACAAATGTTCATAATAAACTGTAATACTTTGAAATTAATAAAAACATTAAATTTTTATAATTATTTTACAAGAATTGTTATAAAAAACATAAATCTTATTGTTTTAATAATTTAACTATATATTTCACCAATTTTTTATGTTTGAGACAAAATTGCAATCTTAATCTCATTTTTCACGAATCCTCCGCGAATTTCGTGGAGCATTCACATCATGCAATCTGCCAGGATTGCGGCTGCTAAGTACGCTTAAATAAATATTTCCTAGAAAAATTTTTAAATTAACATATTAAGATTGATATTAATTTCAATAAACAAATTATAATTATTTTAATTTTAAAATTAAAATAATTTATTATTATTATTATAATAGTAATATTATAAATAATTATTAAAAAAAATATTAAAAGCAATTTCCAGGAAATTTTTATTCTAAAAAATCTTTTTTTTCTTGTATTCCAAAAGGAGCTTAAATTATTTTACAAAATTTATACATGATTCACGGAAAAAATGAGAGGACTTTTAAATTGAATAGGATAGTTGTTAATTTTAAAGAGTCCAAGATTTTCTATATATATAAAAGAGGAAGTACTTTACTGCTCTTTAAAAAAAAGGAGAAAAGAGAAAAAAAGAGAAAAAAAAATTAGAACCCTATGAAAAGAGAAATACGTTACTACACTGATGTAGAATGTGACATTGATAGCGTCTAGAGGATTTGAAGAAATACGTTTCGCAAATCCTTTCCCGCTAATGGAGCCCTGTTGCTGCTGGCTTTCGATTCCCTGATGTGTTCTCTTCTCCACCTGAGCGCAACTGCTTTAATAATAATCCGCGAACATATATATATATATAGAAATGAAGCCTTCAACAATTCCCATTCTTTAATCAAACATGAATAAAACTCGAGAATTTTTTTTTCTTTTCTTATTGTCATGAAAACTTCCATATATTTCCATTTGAAAAACTTTTTAAATTCTACTGTCTGCAGATTTTTCAATTCTTTTTCAACTTATGAATAAATAACTTTTTCAATTTCTCAATTATTTTTTGCAAAAAAAAAAATTTTCCTTCTCATTGATATAAATATCACTCAGAGAAAAGATATCTTTGATTTAAAGAAACCAATTTCTTTGACTTGTTTTTTTTCATTAAAAATAAAATATTGAAACAAAAAAAAATTTCTTACAAAAATTTCTTTGAATGAAAGAAATTTTTGCATTAAATCAAAGAAATTCTAGGGTCAAAGAAACATTTATTTAAATTAAATAATAATAATTTCTTTGAAACGAAGATAAAAATTTAATTATTTTTTTTTTTTATTAAATTTGATATAGCTAGTTAATTAGCCAGAGAGGAAGATGAATGTAATGTGATGACAAAGAGGGGGTGAATCTTCGAAACATACAACACAGTAGCTCTCTCGTTGACACATGAGCGTTAAACACCATGTGTTAGTTTGACATCCTGATTGTACCTGAAGGATTAAATTAACCGAGGGTCGTTTCACGACAAAGCTCGCGTTAAAGCGCTCAGAGAAATTTGGTACCGAGAACTTTGCCTCCTATGGTTACGAATTTCAATCTCCCTATGGGCATAATATACCCAAATGCGGGAGAAAGTCACGTCGCCTTAAGTGACACCTGTCAAGATTCACAGCATCCCTATTTTATATAAATAATTTCCATGAAAGGTCAAATAAAATCTGTCCCATATTTTTTCATACACTAAAAAAAAAAAAAAAATTTACTCGATTCAAATAATCGATTACTTGATTGTCAAATAAATATTTATTTATAACAAATAATTTTTATTTGAATCAAACAAAATTATAATTAAATCAACAATTTCTGTATATTTGAAACAAAAATTATTTGAAAAATATTTATTTGACAAAAAAATATCGAGTCTGTTCTTTTTTTTGTGAGTGTAACTTTTTTGAATGATGTGTGTGGATTTAAACAAATGTAAATCAGTCTTTATTTTAAAATCCACCGTGGAAAATCTTTCAACTGTTTTCTTTTCAATTGAGAAAAAAGGGATACATGCGTTGTCAACGAGAAACTCCCAAGGAACAAAATAATATAAAATGGAGAAAAGTTTTTGGCACATACTGCACTTTTTGTTTCCCATTTCTTTTCGTAAGGAGAAAACACGAGATACATTGAAAAAAAATGTCTATTATATTTATTACTATTATCAACTATTTATCAGCATTAATAATTTATTTATTTGTATCAAATAATAATATAATTAATAATAATAATAATTTTTGTTTCTCTTAAAAACAAATTTATGAATAAATTACTGTTAACTATTTGTTACAGTTTTTTTTCTATTCAATATGGACGTTTTCTTTTTTTGAAAAAATTGACTTTAAAATTCGATAGTCTATCAAGTTTCAATATTTCCTTCTTTAGTATATATCTATATAGTATGTATGTGTGTGTATGTAGTTCCGGCGATAGCAAGCACATATCCGGAACTTATTGTGTAAAGTCAGTCAATTGAAAGTTGATCGCAGGTCTGTGGTATATAGGCAAGTTTTATTTTTAAGACGACTATAAATACACAACATCTCTTTTCAAATTGTATGTCCTGCGAAAGGCTCAGAGAAGCGCTTATATACCTTGAATCACAAGTGATAGAGAGAGAGAGAGAGAAAAAAAAGAAAAGAAAAAAAGACGATGAAAAAGAAGATTGCGAATAGTTGGCCAAAGGCGGAAGTAGAAATATTGGATCTACCGAATAAACTCACGAAGCTTTGCTTTCAATAGATGTTCGAGTATGTCTTGAACTTGAGAGGGGCGGGGGAGGTTTATCCTGTGAGATCAGGTATATACTGACCATGGATATTCTGCACACGACATATCGCGAATCCCACACGGATCAAATTTTATTTTTTTTTTTATTTTTTTGCTTCTAAATACTCAACTACTTTTTGAAATTTCTCGAAATAACGAATTTTACAATATTACACTGAAAGAAAATACAATATTAAATTCTCAATGTTCACTTAGACAAATTTTTAATAAAATATATTTTCCTCTAGAAATTGCCATTGAAAAAAAATTTGATTTCGTTTACATTTTTGATTAATCGCGATTTCGGGAAGTTTATACTAAAAAAGAATGAAATGAGTTTTACTTTATATTAAAAATCAGGATGGTATTTCATGAGAATTTTTTAAAACCCCGTAAGGTTTGAATATTACAAATTCATGATAACAGTGTTGAACTCAGCAACCTCAAAAATCTTATGTACAAGAAAATATTTTTTCTTCTCTTTTTTTTTTCTATACATGAGAGTAGATTTTTTTATTTTTCGATTTGAAAACGTATAATCTTATAGAGTGATGACACTTTTCTTTTCTTTTTTTATTTTAAAAGAGAGTAAATTAACGTAGCAAATGAACTCTGTAAATAAAAATTTACGCCCTATGGCACGCGATGTCCTAAAGTTAATACGTGATGTCCATTCCAATGGATCGTTCTCTATTGGTCCCATGCGATATACAATGTCGCCCCATTCATAACCGCGAAACACCTGAGCTCGTGGGACCCATATTGCAAATATATAGGGTCTTCTAACTACATCCGTGTTTTTTTTTTTTTATCAAAAACTAAATAAAAAAAAACAATAAACTCTCTCATATGTACAAATATAGAGCGAAATCTATTTTTACAATCGCTTTTTGCACAGGGATTTTATATTTTTATTGTCTGGATATTATTATTATTATAATTATTATTTTTTACTAATTTTACTAACTTTATCAGTTTTATTTTAATATACTATTTTATTACTTTTATTATTTTCATTAATTATTTTACAAAATAAAGTATATACACGGAGAAAAAAGATTTCTTTTATAAAGTAACTTTTACTACTTTCAAAGTAAAACTGGACCAACTCGAAGTTTCTGCGCATCTCTGGCAATTTTTACTCCAAAAATAGTAAAATTTACTCTAGAAATAGTAAAACTTACTACGGAAACAGTAAAATTTACTACAGAAATAATAAATTTTACTATTTTTGGAGTAAAAATTGCCAGAGATGCGCAGAAACTTCGAGTTGGTCCAGTTTTACTCTGAAAGTAGTAAAAATTACTTTTTCTTTTTCTCCGTGTAAAAATAATAATAGTAAAAATAATAAAAATAAATAAAGTATAATGTAATAAATATTTTGGTCCTTGATTTACATTGAAAGAAAGGATTGTTGCATTGAAAAAAAATTATTTATAATAATCATTTTTTTATTGTAAATTAAAAATTAAAAAAAAAAAAACTCACCTTCGTACACCCAGTCTGGAACGCCATTATAAACAGTATGAAGAACTCCAGAGTTTGTTATTTTATAAATATCGGGCATTTCAGCAGCCGGACGATAATATATATTATTTTGATAAACATAGACCAATGAATTTCCTTTCGGGCCCCATGTTGCCAATTGCAAAAATACCGATTCATTGTCCGGAAAACCAAAATCCTCTCTGTAATTAAAAAAAAAACATATTTTTATAATAATGATTTTTTAAAATTTTTTTATTTAAATTTTTTTTGTCTTCTTTCAAGGAGATACAACAATGTTTATTATTTACAAATATTTTTTGAAAATTGTACTTTCGAATTTAGGTAAAATTTTACTTTTAAACTATTTTTTAGTTTAATTGTTTATGGATTTGAACCCCCTTAAATACAAATATTTTTCTTCTATTTCTAAAATATTTTGTGTTTCTAAAAACTTTGAATATTTTTAAAAAGGAAAAAAAAAATTGCAGCTAAAATCTGTCCACCTATTGAACCATGATTTTCGATTAGAGGTTCATAACGATAAAAATACATTTGGAAAAATAATAAAAGTGCAAAGGCGTTCCGGTGATATTTCATTTTTGGTCTTTTTTCTTCTTCTTTCTTTCTTTCTTTCTTTCTTCTTCGGCCAATATAATATGGGTTCTATGTGAAATGTTCCTGTATGTGGCCTGTCTCTTAACCAGAAAGACTTGTTCTCTTTCTGAAATCCATTTATCTCGTGCCAGTGCAAGACATTATTTTCGGTTTGAAATCGTTTTGCTACTTCCATCAGTTCTTTTATTCTATTCTCTGTATTTTGAACTGCACTTTGTTGCGCGCGCACTTGTGACAAGAAAAGACGACACACATCAAGTTGTTTTTCTTTTTTTTTTTTTACAATTATTCTTTTCTCAAAGAAAATGAGGATCATTTTCTCAGAAAAGTAATGAATGGTAATGGAAACTCACCTACGCCAAGTTTTTTAATTAGAAAAAGCCAATCGCTGATTGCAATGCCAAGTCACGTTCTTGTGACGTCTTTTAAAGAAAATTTGGATTCAGAGAACAATGTTCACTCTGAAGGAAGAAAAAAATAAAGAACTTGGAAAAATTTAGTCTTTGAAAACGTGAAAATTCTTCTTGAATTTTAAAAAGATTTTTCTTGTGCGTGCGTTGGGAAAAAGGAAAATTCAAATTTTGAGAATTGAAAGATATTAAAGTATTTAAAAAATAGTTTTTTATTTATTTTTTTTCTTTTTTTTTCCTCTCTTTGGGGTGTATATTATATGCTTGATACGTGTGTTCTTATTTCAAATAGAGGATAGAATCACCGATCCTCGGGGGTGTGATTTCTTACGTGCACTACGTGATGTGTATCTCTTAAATCCTCTTTAGTACATATGCAAAAATAACAAGAGTAGAGAAAAGAAACGACTTGAAGTCTCTCTTAGCTAACGAAAAAGCTCTCCCAATCTCCTAGGAGACATTTATCCTGAGGTAAATTTTATAACGAGTCAGAGTCGACCTAAATTCATTCTCTCTTTAATAAACTTTTTTTAAAATTAATTTTTACCCATTAATTAAATTTATTTTTTATCAAAGTAATTTTAAATAAATAAAAAAACTACTTTATTTGAAATAAAATATATTTGAATTAAATAAACATATATTTGTCTCAGAGTAAACTAACTTATTTATTTGGCGTAAATAAAAATTTTATTTGTCATATAAATAAATTTTTCTTCAGCTCAAAAAAAATTTTTTATTTAAATGAAATAAAATATATTTGCAACAAATAAATAAGTTAGTAGGCTTGGTGACAAATATACCATTTCTCTTAGAGTGCAAAGAATTAAAATAATTTTTAGTATATTTAATGTATTAAAAATTACATTAAATTTTATTGTAACATTATTTAGAACAAATTTTAAAAAATATATAATAACCTTTTAAAAAAAAAATGGTCAGATTTTGTCAATATATTATAAAATATATAAGGGTAGAAACTATATTATATAAAGGTCAGTAAAGAAGCTTACTTTTCAGCTAAGATGACCTTTGATAGTTACCCTTTAGGCAATGATGACATATCTATAAAAGGGGAGAGAGAAAAAAAATTTGCCTTCTTATCTCAATTCCTCAAACGGACTTTGTGAATAGAATCTTTGGATTCAACCGTCTTTTGATTTCATAATATATACATATATATATAATAAATATATATAAATATATATGTGTGTGTATAACCTCGACAATTCTGCATTTGATATCGTCGTCTTTTATGTCGTCTGCTTGGCTGTCTACATTTCATCGACCCCTTATCGTATTTTTCAATGGCCTTAGTAAACGTTCCATCATGAGAAGTTCCGTTTACTGGATATATATATATAGTGTAAAAGCTCGCGAGTAAACACGTGAATAATAAAATTCAGGATAAAAATGTTTAATGAATGTATATATGTATTTAACAAATATCCAACTTGGCATATATTTGCATAAGAAAAAGTTATTTCAAACAAATATTATTAAATTTAGTAAATATATTTTATTTTAATCGAATAAATCAATTTTATTTGGTTTAATTAAATTATATTGAAATTCTATAAATAAATATAAATAAAAATAAATATTTCCTTCGAATAAATTATATTTGGCTCATAGTATATTTAATTAATAGTATATTTGGTTCATAGTATGTTTGGCTGATAGTAAATTAGGTTCAAATTCTATTTAATTTATAGTATATTTGGTTCAGTATATTTGGCTCATAGTATATTTGATTCAAATTAGATTCCGTTCATAGTATATTTGGTTGAAAGTATATTTAGTTCGTAATATATTTGGTTCATAGTATATTTGGTTCAAATTAGATTCCGTTCATAGTATATTTGGTTGAAAGTATATTTAGTTCGTAATATATTTGGTTCATTGTATATTTAGTTCATAGTATATTTGGTTGAAAGTATATTTAGTTCGTAATATATTTGGTTCATAGTATATTTGGTTGAAAGTATATTTAGTTCGTAATATATTTGGTTCATTGTATATTTAGTTCATAGTATATTTGGTTGAAAGTATATTTAGTTCGTAATATATTTGGTTCATAGTATATTTGGTTGAAAGTATATTTAGTTCGTAATATATTTGGTTCATAGTATATTTGGTTCAAATTATATTTAGTTCATAGTATATTTGGTTCGTAATATATTTGGTTCATAGTATATTTGGTTGAAAGTATATTTAGTTCGTAATATATTTGGTTCATAGTATATTTGGTTCAAATTATATTTAGTTCATAGTATATTTGGTTGAAAGTATATTTAGTTCGTAATATATTTGGTTCATAGTATATTTGGTTCAAATTATATTTAGTTCATAGTATATTTGGTTCGTAATATATTTGGTTCATAGTATATTTGGTTGAAAGTATATTTAGTTCGTAATATATTTGGTTCATAGTATATTTGGTTCAAATTATATTTAGTTCATAGTATATTTGGTTGAAAGTATATTTAGTTCAAATTAAATTTGGTTCGTAGTATATTTGCTTTTATAGTATATTTGGTTCGTAGTATATTTGGTTTAAATTATATTTGCTTTATAATATATTTGATTCAAATAAGTATATTTATTTCATATAACTTATATTTTGTTCAAATAAATTATATTTTGTATAAATAAATTGTATTTGTGGCAAATAAATTATATTTTCTTCAAATAAAAAAAAAATTCTCCTGGATGTAAAGGAAAGACAATAAATATAAGTGAATTAAAACGTAAAAAAAAGAGTGAACGTCTTTTAAGAAAAAGTTTTGAGAGAGTTAAATTTCGTAAAAAGGGAAATTTAATTTAAGGAAACGTGATACTTTATAAAGCGAGAGTAATCCATTAGGATGGTATATGAACATTTATTCTTGCTACATTGTATAAAAAAGTAGTACCATAAAACTTCAAGAGCCACTGACGATATAGGGACGCGCGCCCCCTTGAATATAACGGTTTTTTTTTTATTATTCTTTAAGTCCCAGAAGAATTTTTTTTTGTCTCTTAAGGGATTGTTTCAGACCCTTTTTTTTAACATTCTACGTGAGCCTTTTTTATATTCAAGTATGACTTCTCTTGTCCATGTAGATCACTTTTCTCAGAAACATGGTAAAATTACATGTCTTAGATGAAACTTTTCTTTATATTCACGTAAAATAGAATCAATTGTTCCAAATATTACCTCTTTGCAAATTAAATAGGAAAATTGAATTCGAAATCTTGTTTTTAATTTAATTTAAATAATTTTATTATTATTTGTTATTTATTGATTATTGATTATTGATTATTATTTATTAATTTATTATTAGAATAACAGACTGGTGTTCAAAGGGTGTTCTTTTTTTTCTTTATAATTGAGTATTTTTGTACGAAAGGTAATTTTTTTCTCTCTTGTAAGCCCGTTTATACTATGAATAAATAACTAAATAAATTATTTTTTATTTATTTGTAGTATAAAGGGCCTTAGAAAAAAGAAAATTAAAAACTCCTTTTTATACAAAAGTACAATTTTCTTGAGTTTTCGCCCTTAGGGACAACCCATAGTTTCAATCTACCTGAGTAGGCTGGGTCATTAAGGCCCAATAGAAATAAACTCTTAATGAGTTTTCACCATTTTCTTTTTGAATTTCTCCATTTTTCTTTTAAAAGGGTCCAATAGCAAATTTTTTCACGCTATTTTCCCCCAACATTACAAACTCAAAAATTGTAGTGGGGACAAACCCTTAAAAACCTATGTTTCTGTACAATAGTCAGTCATTAAAAAATTCTAAATCTCTACAAGTCTTTCTACAAGTTCTAAATCTATTTTACAATTCCAAATTTTTACAAAGTTATATTTCTACAAGTTCCAAATTTTTACGAAAATTTCAACTAATTCTACAAATTTTACAATTCAAATAAAAGTAAGTGTTAAAAACATTATTCACAAGTTATCTTTATTTCTTTTTGAAAACTTTCTTTAAATCTATAAAAATCTTTCATAATTCCCAATTCCAAAGAATACTGCCGTTTAAGCTTGCGGTTACTTTTCAATTGTATATTATTTTATTTTCTATGTGTTTCCAACTAATTACTACCTATGATTCCTAAATTTGTTAATGTCACTTTATAAGGTTGTGACTAAGAAATTTTATTCCTTAAAAACTGTGTAATTGCCT